GTGTCTGTTTGTGTTGGTTCTGCTCTTTTTTCTACAACAGTCTCTTTGTAAAGGAAGAACTGATTCAGCCAGGCCGGTCCAACACCTGTTATGGAGAATGTATGCTTGATGTAGACTACAATTCACAGGTCATTGACCTTGCGGTCACTTTTATTGCTCCAGTTTCTGTCATTATAATTTTGTATTCATGTGTGTTCGTGGTGGCTGTGTCTCAGGCTCGGGCCATGCGCTCTCATGTTACAGCTGTCAAGCTGCAGCTTTCAGTCAGTCTGACAACAAGGAAATCTGAGTTAAAAGCAGCCAGGACCCTTGGTGTTCTTGTACTTGTGTTTTTGATATGTTTTTGCCCATATTACTTTATCTTGCTTATAGGTAACAGCATGTTAACCGCAGCATCAGTACTTTATGTTGCCTATATGTTTCTGTTTAACTCCTGTGTAAACCCTCTGATCTATGCCTTTTTTTACTCCTGGTTCAGGAAAGCCATTAAACTCATCTTATCCCTGCAGATACTGCAGCCTGGCTCCTGTGAGACCAACATGTTGTAGAAAAGTCACAGAGTCTCTAAATCTCGGGTCACATGGAGAAACTATGTCTCACCACACATTTGCAGTTCTAAGTTTTTCACTTTCTGTTTTCTCTGTGTGATCCTTTGGGGAAATACATTTTACAATGCCCCCTTTTTACCGTCCCTCCCTTCCCCAACGTTTTTATTTCATCATGCATCTGCAAAGTATGCTGTAATTGGCTACCCTAAGCACTCCCGGATTCTGTATGCTCATGTTATGTACTATACATATCTGTTGTATGATCTTAGGTCAGCTTGTGCTGAAACTGAATTTCCCTCATGGAGTCAATTAAATAAGATATTTTATTTTATCTTAAAAAGAAAATAAACCAATTGACTCATACATATATTTAACCTGATTTTTCTTTCTTTTTCTTAACAAAAATAGTTTTTTCCCGAAGTAACTTTTGACCACTCAGGGAATCGATACTGATAGCTAAAACATGGGCTTTTAAGAGGGCAGCAAGTTAAAATAGAAAAGGGTGGCTAATGATGCATCAATAAAAAAAACTCTGCAGCTTTATACAACTTTTTTTTTTTAGGATATCCACCTGTCAACATGTTCCTGTATTCTTTCATTAACAGTGAGGTTGATGAATAAAATAATACATTCACATGCCTCATTTTATCTATGATACTTAAACAAAAGACTGGGCTCAGAATCAAATTAAACAAACTCTTAACATCAAACCAGAAGACTCAATAATAAAGCATTAAAGTCGAGGAAAACAGTGTCTTATGACCCTTTGTTTAGTTGGATTCGTTGGCAGGAAAGACTGATGGACTAGCATGGTTCTTTTGCTGTACTTCTTACAATATAGAGTGTGAATTAGGAGAGTCTAGCTGAGGCCCTGTTCTGTAAAACTTGTGTTTTTGATATGTGTTTGTCCATATTACTGTCTTTCTCTGACAGGGGACAGTGTTGTAACTGCAGCATCTACATCTTATGTTATCTATGCATTTTTGTTTAACTCCTGTGTAAACCCTCTGATCTATGCCTTTTTTTACTCCTGGTTCAGGAAAGCAATGAAACTCATCTTATCCCTGCAGATACTGCAGCCTGGCTCCTGTAAAACCAACATATTGTAGAAAAGTCACAGAATCACTTAATCTAGGGGCACATGGAGAAAGTAAATCATATCATATATTTGTAGTTCTACGTTTTTCGCTTTCCTTCTTTTCTGTGTTTTTTTATCGAAATAAACTTTAAAGTGAACATAAAGCAATAGATTCATACACATATAATACTTTTTAAAAAATAAATAAACAAAAAAGTAGTCTTGCTAAGCAAACTTGTGGCCTGTCAAAGCATAGATATTGGATAGCTAAAACATGGGTTTTTAGGAGGGCTGGAAGCATGAATGAAAAATGGTGGATGGCTAAGGATGCATCAAGAAACAAATTCTGCAGCTTTACACAACTTTCTATTAGGCAATCCACCTTTTAAACATGTTTCTGTGTTCTTTCTTTCGCCTCTAAGGGATGAGATCACACAGGCTTTACGCAGGTGTAGCTTAATATTACATT